AACGAATCTCAAATAAAGGAATAAATTTGTAGTGAGAAAAGCGTTGGTGTCTCTCCCCCTTTCAAACTGGAGAACCACTAGATCCAGAAATGGAGTTATAAAAAAAAATTATCAACAAAAAAGATTCATTTTCATTTTGCCAAAATAATCTGTATTTTTTTATAAATAGTGATATTATAAGTAGCCACTTTAAATATCAAGTTAAATCGTTTAATATGTCTAAATTTATTTATTCAGACTTGCTACCTTTCATTGCGCTTCTGATCACCTTTTGGCGCCAAAGCTAATATTTTTTCCTCCAGGTAAAATTTCAAACTCGAGATGCGCGTCACGTCACAGACTCGATGGCTGCGCTCTTGTCAAAAAGACGGAGATAAAAAGCGACGTGTGAGTGCCGAGAGGGCCGCGGGTGCTGCTGATTTGCATTGGTGGCGGAAGTGTCGGTTGCAGCCAACAGGTCCGGCCAACTCAACATGCCTTCACTATTAGTCTGTTCCGTTTCTTGTCTGCCGCGACCCTTTTTTTAGAAGACGACGACATTCCTCGGCGTCAACAAACTTAATAAATACTGAGGGAATTAGAAATTAAGAATTCAACCGTGGAAATATTTGAGTTAAAGGGGAGCCGAATAATGCTGCCTTCCATCAACGGAAGCTTCAGTTTGCACAAACAAGATGGGAGAAATGTAAAAGTTTGAATCAAAATATTGTTTAAAAAAAAAATGTCCAAAGAACTTTATTACTGTTAATTTTTCTTTTTGTTTTGTATTTTGTTATTGTAAAAATTTGTATGTAAAATTATCATCTTTTCTCTCAATTATATTAACTTGTATAATTTTGAATGTATAAATGATGTATCCCGTTATGGGCAGCAATTGCCTTTGTGATAGATCAATAAACACAATTTGCAACTAAATATGAAATTTTGAAATATATGTAACGATATTTATTTCTTATTATTTTATAGCAGAAAAAATTAGAAACTTTTGAATGATATTCTCGCGGCTAGTTTTCATTTTAAATCAATGTTGACTGCAGATTTATAAATTCACAAAGTTTTCTGACCCAACAAAGTAGCCGGAGGTCCGTGCGGCACCACGACGGCGCCATTCAAAATTATACAGAAAAACATTGTTATTGGAAATACGCGTTTGGAATCCCTAATTAGACTGAAAATGGAATCGCATCACTCAGCGTCTCTGTTTTGTTCCTCAACATAGTTCCCATGCATCATCAGCAAATGAAGTAATTAGACGGCGTTCAGAATGGATAATGAGGCGCGCTCAAATGGCAAAAAGTTGTCCACCGCAATTTGTGGAAAGCCAGCGGCCAGTTTCGCCTTCGATAATAAAACAATAACAGGCCGCACCACTCTTTTTCCAGCATCATGCCGGACACGGACAAAATTTGGAATAAGTGGCCATTTAAATTCAACTCCTGTCTTTGGTTTGTTATGGGGCTTAGCACATAATAAAACTCCGTAAAAGGAATTTCAACTTCTGTGTGGCATCGTTTCTCAAAAAGATATGGAATACAATATTCCTTCTCTTATGTAAAAGTGACCAAAATTCAAAATTTTGTGTTTGATTCCTATGATATTTTTTTTATAGTTTTCATGGTTAATTTGCACAAGAAGAGGCAGCTATCGTGCTGTAAGAAATTGGCTTGAGAAGATCGTTTTGCAATTTAGTCATAATTTTCCCATATAAATGACGCACAATATTTATAGTATATATAAAAATTAATATTAAATTTCATTTTAAAACCTGTAAAGAAGATTTAAATGATTTTTTTATTGAGTTAAAATTGCAATAAAAAAAATGGAATGTGAAATAGAAAATTCATTAAACGTGTGATTTTTAAAAGATATTTAGGAACATTCAAAAGTAAAAAAAAACCTAATATGTTATTATTTTGGCGTTTTATTTATCCGCAAAGGCGCGGTCCATCCAAGGAGCGAAATCACATCTCGTTTTCACACCCATCGATTGCCGGGGTGCATCCGTCTATATCTCGAAAGGCACAGATTCATTTGACCCCTGCACTGACTAGTGAGCCGATCGAATGACCCCCTGGTGTTTGCCGTGCTTTATGAGGCGTATCGCGCATCGTTTGTAGCCCCTCGCCTTGCACCATCCAAGAGAGAGTCATGGTCGGTCACACTTTGTGCCGCTAATAGTATACACGTTCCCTCTCGCTTTTTGTTCTGATCTCGTTGCGCACGCCATCAATCAAGTTGCTCGGATCTATCAAGTGTGCAAAAATGCGATCAAGTGAGGATTTTCTTGCGATCTGCGATATGTCGACTCCGGCATGATTGTCTTTCAAGATTAACATTTTTAGGGTCAGCGTTTTGTTCGCCTGTGTCTTTTATTGGTCTTTTTATTAAAGTTGAGCTCAACGTTATTGGAAATATCAACTTTATTCCATATTTTGTTGTCCGAGTGACATATATGAATTGGCTATGAAAATTTAAAGGAACAGGATTAAAAGTCTGAAGATAAGATGTTGGTTAAAATGTGGGACTGTTTTATGCAAATTTTTGAGAATCTTTTATTATGTAATTCAATATGGGCAAACAAATTAAAATTTGATTTAACCATTTTTTTAAATTTTAAAAATTAATTTGTTTTTTCATTCAATATTTTTATATTAATTATTGATTTATTTCTTACTTCTTTCCAAATTAAAAGCCAAGCCGAAAAAAATTTTACTGTGGATCTTTATATTCTAATTTCTAATTTAATATGAACATAATTCATTTAATTTGATTAACATTGTTTATCATCAAAATGTTCTTTATCAAAGAATATCTCAAAATTAATTGCCTTTGCAAAATGAAGGAGAATTTAAGTTGATTTACCAGTTTGGTTTTCACTTTTCAGATGCTGCGATAAATAAGAAATTATCTCTTTTTTTCTCAGACTGAAATTTGTATTCAGCTGTGGAAGAACGCGAGAGCAGCCGGAACGTGCATTCCGTCGAACGAGTGATGCCTGTATTCATTCCCCGCAGCTTGACAAGAAATCAAACTTAATTGAAATTTTCGAGCGCACCGGACGTAAGCCAGAGAGTATCAGAGAGAAACAATAAAGTATAACTGGAAAGAAATTACGATCGGCGCGCAGGCAAAACACGTAAACTTCGCATAAATCTATCGCCCGTCTCGCGGCGGCGGCGGCACAAAATGAAATAACCATTACGCGCGCGGCCATACATGAAAAACAATTTAATTAATTAGCATCACAATAAAATAGTGGCCGGCTCAGGTGTTATTCCTTTTTGTCCGCTCGGTTTAATATTGTTGCTGCCGCGTGGAAAGAAAAGGAACACACAATGGCGCACTGGCTTTTTATGATCGCACCTGGATTTGCAGCCGTGTGTACGCTTTTCGGCGCTCAATTTCGATCGCACACACGCAGATAATCCTTAATTGGGAAGCGTTCCCAGGAAATATGGTGATCAGGTGCGTGCGAAGACTGAGGCTTGTTCTCTTGCATTTGAATTTTATTTGCTCGACTTACTTTCACTTAAATGCCAGCTAGTAAAATTTAGTTGCAAATAATGTTAAATGATAAAATTTAAAACCAATTAAATTCATTCAATAAAATATTCGTTTTGTAATATTTTTTTATTTTACAATACAACTAACAAAGAATTGCAAATCGCAAGTTTACTCCTACTTTCATTGTCAAAAATTATAATTTACTGATCATTTAAATTAAATAATAAATTTATCAAGTTTATTATTGTTAACAATGGACGTGATGGTGAAGTATGTACTACACTGGATCAATATAAATAATTTATTATTTATTATTTTCTGTATTCCGTGCGCAAAAAGGATAAGAAATGATATATATTTTTACCTTATATAATTGTCTTTTAATGGAGTACAAAACTTTATGTAGAATTTGTAGAAAGAACCTTGGACTCACGTTGATGTCAAATCCAAGGTTTGACCACAAATTATTCTAAATGATGTGCGCAAAAAGCGTGAAGTAAGGAAAATAAAATCAATTAATATTAATTTAACCAAGAAAAATAATGTATACATGTGTAATATGAAAATTTTAATTTGGCAATAACATATTATTTGTTTTTTAAATTTAGCGCATTAAAAGTATTTTAGCTTAAAGTTTTCACTGTCAGTATAGCAGAGAAGTTTATATATCTTAATATTATTCTGCAGAAGCAGGTGAATTCAACCCGCGAAGGTGTACTTCCGCGGCCTAACGAAAATTTCAGAGCCATGCATTTTTTTCCTCCGCAGCCGGGCAATATTCTCTCTCCTCGCACATGTGTGCATTTTTAGATTGTTATGCTATGGACTGCTCAGGGGTACACCTGCCTGCTTTTTCTTAAACGTTTGGGTGTTTCATATCCTTTAACTCCTTTATTTCCTTGATCTCCAACGTTGGTAAATGTTTGCAAAACAGGTAGTAGGTTTCGATGTCAGTTTTTTTTCTCGACTTTATGCAAATTCTTAGTGAAAAATGTTAGCCCATGAGGGTATTTTGGTAATTTACTGCGGATGTTTGCACAGCTCGTTAATGTATGCAATTAATTAAAAACAAAATATAACAAAAGGGTAAAGCGTTTGTGCAATTTCCAAGACAGGTGAATTTTAGTCAGTTTTTGGTTTAGTTTCAAAAACGTTTTAACTATAGCTTGAAATTTTTCAGGGTTAATTTCAATTCAAATTATTTGCGCTAAAATAATTAATATTTTTTTATAAATATCTCAATATAAATCTTAATCAAAAGCAAGTTTTCCCCACTTAAAGATCAATTATTGATTCTCACCTGCATCACGGGTTTCCCCAAAATTTTCTGTTAATTTTGAACAATACGAATTTTGGCAAGAAATTTTCATTCGCTCTAAACTTCCCAAATGATTACTCATGTTTCACAGCTGTCAGTGTGGCCAAAATCAGAATACGAATGAAACGGAAATAATGTTTCCTGAAAAAGAGAGGCTTTGATTGTTGGCAAGCCCATCACGATCAGTGTAGTCGTGGAACTAAATGTTTTGCAAACTACAATCGGTCTAATGAAATGAACTATTATTTTTATTTAATAATAGTGCTTCAAGCCTCCAAATTATTTGACATCACCCAAGTAAGTTGTTGTGAATTATGATGAAATTGCACGAAATTTCCAAATTTACCTCACTGATTGGGAAAGGCGAGATCAGAGAGAGTGTTTTCATCTTGCATTAAAAGGAACATATAAATTTCCAAGAAAAGGTCTCATGGTTCAAGCTAAAATTTTCTGATCCCTGATCGGGCACAATCCTACGTAAAACGTAATGTGATGTAAAAAAATCGTAAATGATTAAAAAAAGGACTTCATCTAAAAATATCATTCCATGTTATGCAGACTAATAACTATCAAGAAAATAATAAATTATTAATTAACATTAGCTTGCTCAAAATTCCTGTATCATTATGATAAGAAGGTACAATACGAAAATTTATCTTATCTATTTTTATTCTATTTTAACAAGTTTTATTTATTTATTTATTTTTTTTTTTTGATATTTTTGCAATTTCAAATCATTTTTTAGATCATCACCAGCAAATGCATCAACCATAAATTAAATAAAAAAAAAAAAAAAAAAAAATTTCACCCTAAGAGGAAATTAAATAATAATTACAAAACGAAACTAAAAAATTTGTGCATCAAGTGAAATTAGTTTAAAAAGAGCGTTTTGTTAATGAACCTAAAATTTTAAACAAAACATGTTATTTGAATAAAATATAATAAATAATATTAACAATGTCTCCCTGAATTTCCCAACGTTTACATCTATTCCCACTTTTCAGTCGTCATTTGGACGAAAACTGTAAAAATGGCTGGAAACAGGATGTAAAGTTTCGCACCAATTGAAAGCTTTGATACCAAGGACACTACCAGTTTATAACGAATTGTAGAGCATTGCAAATTTGATTTTTCAATTCATCTTGATTATTCCAATAATTATATTAAATATAAACGTACTGGTTTCCTGCATCGTTTTACATGGGTTTGGCCTCATTTATGTTTTTATTGTTTTTTTTTTTAATTAACCACAACTGAAAGTTATATTTTGCATGATTAACTAAATCATCATATCTATTTAAGGCTCAAAAACGTGATGGTCGAGGAAAAGGTTTGTTTGTGATTTAGAAAAATTATAAACTTAAATTTAAATATTGTCGTCAGCCAAGTACAATCGCAATGCGGCCAGGCAAAAAATTGTTCGTTGCTGTGGTGCACTGTCGTGCACTCAATTCAACGCCATTTATAAAGCAACAACTGCAATAATTAATGGTTCCGCCACTTCCGCATCGACAGTGACGTCGAGAGTGACAAATGATCAAGCTACAGATGCCAAAACCCTAACTGATGAAACGCAATTTTCCCAAATCAGCGATGCACCTGTTCAACAAGAGGAAACAACGACAACAATTATCAATGATTTAAACGCAAGGAAAAGTTAATTATTAATGAGTGAAAAACGATTAATTTTAATTTTTAGTCAGCTCCATCTCCGAGTGAACCAAATTTACCTGTCGTTCCAGACTCCACTACAGAAACTACTTTACCGACCCAGAACGAAATTCCAGATCCGATAACTACAATGCAAGCAGTTGAAACTAGCTCATCAACATTTACGCAACTTGAAAGCACTGCAAATCCTAATTTGAATAGTTTGCAACCAAGTAGTTTGGCTCCAGCTACCTCTCAAAAAAAATGTTCCAGTTCCGTCCTCAACGCCAAATTTACTGACAACAACAGCAAAAATAGCTGCCCCAACAACTACAACTACTGAGATGACGACGATCCTTTTCATAAAACCAACTACAGCAACGACGAAAGCGCCAGAGGTATAATTAATTCAAATTATGGTGGATTTCACTTATATTATGAAAACATTATTGATTTGAATGAACCTCAACCTCATTAAAAATTTTAAAAAGGAGGGGCAGTTCAACATTTTGAACAAAATTTGCGTCATGGTCTTAACATTACATTATTAATCGATATTATTAAAATATAAATGGTTTAATTAACTACAGTATTGAGTTATTTTCAAAACATGGTCTTTTGATCTGAAACGTGTAGAGCAAGATGTTGTTTTTTGTAAAACGATAAACCGCTCCTAAAACCCATCAAAAGTAAAAGCCTATTTTCAATTCAATTCACCATGAATTATATCCTTCCATCGTGGAATCCCACCACAATATTTTCATATACTTTACAGGAAATATTTATATTGTGCAAATTATAAATAAAAAATCTTCTCTTGAATAGGTTTATCCGAAATGCCCAACATTATGTAAACGTGATGTAAGCTTAAAAATTTTAGATTTTTTACGGTGAAAACTTAAATTTGAACTAATTGAAGGCATCACTATTTGATCTTGACAAGTCACTAAGAGGTTCGTACCACTTTAAAACAGCAATAAAGACATAATATTTTATAATATATTTGCGAATTCCAATTTGTAAATATCTATTTTATGAATTCTTCCTTCCCATAGTTTTATTTTTTCATTCAATTGAGAGGATGAAGCTAATTTTGTATATGACCGGTTTAAAAGATCCATCTGACCACGGCTTTTGGAGAACTGCGTGTGGAAGTCTTTTTGTTTTTGGAAAAACTCTGGTGCGTAGAGATTTTATCTTCAACAAAGGCTAAAATAAATTTAAACAAAATTTTAAAAGGCAAATTGGCAGCAGAACTTTGACAAATGCTGCAGTCTAGGAATGGTGCCAATTTTCTTCGAGACACAGGCTAAATTTACGTGCTTCAATGATATGATAGACGGTATGGAATAAACTAAAAAAAATTGAGTCAATCAAAACCATATTAATTAAAATGACGCAGGATTCAAATGGCCATACAATACTCGGTATTGGACATCAGGTTTGCGCGGGAGCCCTTCCACATTTGCGTTTTGCCAAACCAAAGCAAGCGTATTATCGTCCTATTGGGAGTCCGGGCAACCCAACAATGTTAACAAGTCAGAAAATTGTGCTCAGCTTATAATAAAGCCAGGAAACGACACAGCCCAGTTGGCCGATAAGAACTGTGGAGAAATCAGTGCTTTTGCCTGCATGGTGATGAAAAGAAAAATATCATTCCTAATTAAAATATTTTGTATAATTATTTCTCGTGCAGGGGCCGACAACACCAAAGCCTGCCTGCACAGCGCCGCAATGTCCAAATATCACCTGCGCCCCTAACGTTTGAAATTATCTCTTTTCTCTTCTTAACAACTAATAATTGCAAATTTCAGAACACCGTTTTTGCGACCAAAGACGGACCTGTGGTCATCAAATACTTAAAAGGTAAAATCAAATTGAAGTAGAAAATGTGCTTTGATAAAGATAAAAAATAGACCCTACAAAGCATGGGCAGTGGTTTTCAACGGATGGAAGATATTATGTTTTCAGTTACCCAAGTGACACTCGCACGGTAACTTGGTTGTTGAAGAATAAAATTTTAATTTTTCCATTTCATAGTACGAACAATCAATGATGGCATGCTGCTCCATCGGCTTGAAGCTCATCAGTGTGCACCAAGATTTCACTTTTGATCTGCTAAAAAATGCTTTTAAAAGTTTTTGGAGTGATTTATATGGTTATAAAAAATTAAAAATAATTGTAAAATAGATGGAAAAATATTACCAGCACAGTTTTGGACATCTGGTACTGACTTAGGCTGCGAGGGTAACTTTGGGTATTGCTCATCAAATAGACTTCTTAGAAAGGAGGCAAGGTTTGTTTAATTCAATTCATTTTATCTTACGCAATAATATTTTAATGAAAGCTGGAATATAACAGAAAATGTTTTTTAGATGGGTCCTCGGACAACCAGATGATGTAAACAAAACCCAAAATTGCTTGACAATCTACGTCAATATGACAGAGTCTCGACTGAGTGATGAGAATTGCAACCTAAAAAGGCGCTACATCTGTGAAGTAAAATTTATTACAGCGAATAAGTATTTGAACTGTTACAAAATAATACAATATAATAGGGAAAGTCCCCGAGGACAGTCGAAACGATTCAGAAAGAGTGCGCTGACCTATACACATTGACAGCTGGTTAAAAGATTAAATTTTGAAATTTTTACACTATAAAAATAAATACTATAGAGCAAATATCAAGGCTTCTTAACGACACCGCGAAAAATCTCAAGGAAAAATGTTTTTTGAAATGTTTTGGAGAGGAAACGGGATTTGTATTGTTCTTCTTTTTTTAAACTGGTTCTGTATTAATTCGTTGTAAATTCAGATGAAGGATGGAAAGTTGGTGCAGGAAAAAATACTCGCCGAGTTTCAATCGTTGTCAAAAGGCGACCTAGACAAGCTTACCGAATCATACAGCACCTTCGACTTTTGCACCAATGTGACAAGTGACCGAAAATTTGATAAATATTTTTGTTCCTTTCTCAATCATTTCATCAGAGGGAATGGATGATTGTGACAGAGCTTCAGCCCTGATGAAATGCGGACAAGACAATTCGCCAGAACTCATGTCAAGCCTGGTTGTTAACCTTGAAAATACAATTAAGGTGATCAGAAAGGCTATAATATTGTATGGGTTGCTTCAACTATTATTTTCAAAGGGTGGCACCGTTAATGAGGCTGTGGTAATGTCACCTAACCAGTCATCCGCATGTCCTAGTCACACATGTGTTCAGGATGTAAAAAAAAACTTAAATTGCTTTTTTTTAATTTTTTATAATTTTGATATTAAGGCGGATTTGAAAGCCACTTTTGATAGAACGCCAGGTATGAATAATCCAAAATTTTAGTTCTTTTAAGAACCTTCAATTTGCAATTTAGCAAATTCATCATTTAAGTCTATTTACGGTACTGGAAAAGTAGCCGAGACATGTGGCAAAAGGTTTCTGGGCTTGAATATGCCAGCCTTGATGGGAATTGTAATTATGCTCAAAATTACTTTCTACTATATCCTGTCTTAATTAAAATTACTCGAATAAGAATGCATCAAGGTTTCCTGAAGCTTTTGCAATTTGCTGCAAATTTGGGCTCAGACTCTTAATTCTTGATACTACTGCAAAGCAAACATGTTTGAAGGCTCAAACTGGTCTCAGTAAGTTCAATCGTTTCAATCTATGTATGTCAAGAAACGTGTAACTTTTTTCCAGTGGATTTTCCATCGGGTGCAACAGGCTACTTAATTGCTGCTTTCTACATTGACCCAAGTGTAAACAAAACGGCAATAATGTGTCCATCAGGACAGCTGGTGATGAACCAAACGGAAATAGCTGACTTAGCTGCTGGCTCACAAGGATTCTTTCCAACTATTAGAACAGATATGACTAAACGTATTTTTATGATCGAACGATATGCTGCCTCAAACAAATTGCTTTGTGAAAGCAATTGAAATTTTAAGCCAGGCATGCGGTCACATTTTTAATATTGTGATTATGAAATTAATATATAAAAATGATTTGATTAATTACGAAGGTAGTTTTTCTGTGTTTTAAAAAGTTGAAAACACCTTACAAGAAGTCTTAAAATATTTTTGATATAAGTTCTTATCCCACTTGTGAAAATTGCGATTTAGTGTCAATAACAGTTATTATTTTCATATTGAAGTGAAAAACAGAATTTGTCTTTCTGAAAATATGCAGACACGCTCCCGCTTATTTTAGCACTCTGCTCGCTTTGTACAAAAGTATCTTCAAATTTAAAATATATATATTATGTAAAGGATTAGTAAGATTAGTTAATCCAAAATAACAAAGATTACTGCAGTTTTTATCACGGTCTGCGACCCAAATGATTTCACGAGGAAGAAAAATATGAAATTAAAAAATCACTCTGACCAAAACTTTGATAGAGCCTGGGGTAGGGCCGTTTCATTTTTACTATAAAAAATTGATTTCATCAAGGACAAGGCCCGTTTATCACTCCATAAACTTTCGCTCCAATTTCTTAACTCAGTTATACCTTATACCAGATATAAAATATAAATACATTTATTTATTTTTGCTATGATGAATAATTTAAAAACGAAAACTTCAATTGATCTGGTCCTCTTTGGGAGCGGGGTTCCCTGGGTTTTTTCTTTCAAATGATTCACTTAATTTAAAATGTGCCACTTAACATTATGAGATTAAGAGTTTTTAAAGTATCCGGATTATATGTCAAAAAATTTGTCGAATTGATTTATTAGTTGTCAATTTCTGCTTCGAAAACCATGAACAGTGTCCGTTTTAAATTGTTGCTAATGTTGTTCCAGTGATTAGCAACAAAAAATTGCTTGACTTGGGAATAAATAGGAACTTTAAAAACATCTTACATTATCTTGCTAATATGAGACGTGATATACGAACACTACGAGACAAATCAATCAGAGCAGGGATGAAATCTATAAGGGCCAAGGTAACAGGAGTAAAAATCAACACACCGCTCAATCGGACGTCGATTACCATCTAATAAATGTCAAAATCGGCGCCGATAAATATTATAAATTCCCAGCAAAACGGCGTGTGGTGGTGGAAAACGAGAGGTTAATATTTTTGTATTAATATCTCAGTAAAAATTTTAATCAAAAGCAAGTTTTCTCCACTTAAAGATCAATTATTGATTCTCACCTGCATCACAGGTTTCCCCAAAATTTTCTGTTAATTTTGAACAATATGAATTTTGGCAAGAAATTTTCATTCGCTCTAAACTTCCCAAATGATTACTCATGTTTCACAGCTGTCAGAGTGGCCAAAATCAGAATACGAATGAAACGGAAATAATGTTTCCTGAAAAATAGAGGCTTTGATTGTTGGCAAGCCCATCACGATCAGTGTAGTCGTGGAACTAAATGTTTTGCAAGCTTCAATCTGTCTAATGAAATGAACTATTATTTTTATTTAATCATAGTGCTTCAAGCCTCCAAATTATATGACATCACCCAAGTAAGTTGTTGTGATGTATGTTGAAATTGTACGAAAATTCCAAATTTACCTCACTGATTGGGAAAGGTGAGATCAGAGAGAGTGTTTTCATCTTGCATTAAAACGGACTTATATAAATTTCCAAGAAAAAAAGATCAAATGGTTCAAGCTAAAATTTTCTGATCCCTGATCGGGCACAATCCTACGTAAAACGTAATGTGATGTAAAAAAATCGTAAATGATTAAAAAAAGGACTTCATCTAAAAATATCATTCCATGTTATGCAGACTAATAACTATCAAGAAAATAATAAATTATTAATTAACTTTAGCTTGCTCAAAATTCCTGTATCATTATGATAAGAAGGTACAATACGAGAATTTAAATTTGTCTGATCTATTTTTATTCTATTTAAACATGTTTTATTTTTTTGGATATTTTTGTAGTTTCAAATCATGTTTATTGATCATCACCAGCAAATGCATCAACCATAAATAAAATTAAAAAAAAAATTAAAATTTCAACCAAAGAAGAAATTGAATACTATTTACAGAACGAAACTAAAAAAATTTGTGCATCAAGTGAAATTAGTTTAAAAAGAGCGTTTTTTTAATGAACCTGAAATTTTAAACAAAACAAATTATTTGAATAAAATAAAAAAATAATAATAACAATGTCTCCCTGAATTTCCCAACGTATACATCTATTCCCACTTTTCAGTCGTCATTTGGACGAAAACTGTAAAAATGGCTGGAAACAGGATGTAAAGTTTCGCACCAATTGAAAGCTTTGAAACCAAGGACACTACCAGTTTATAACAAATTGTAGGGCATTGCAAATTTGATTTTTCAATTCATCTTGATTATTCCAATAATTATATTAAATATAAACGTACTGGTTTCCGGCACCGTTTTGCAAGGATTTGGCCTCATTTAAGTTTTTATTCTTTTTTTAATTAACCACAACTAAAAGTTATATTTTGCTTGATTAACTAAATTATCATATCTATTTAAGGCTCAAAAACGTGATGGTCGAGGAAAAGGTTTGTTTGTGATTTAGAAAAATTAAAAACTTTAATTTAAATTTTGTCATCAGCCAAGTACAATCGCAATGCGGCCAGGCAAAAAATTGTTCGTTGCTGTGGTGCACAGTCGTGCACTCAATTCAACGCCATTTATAAAGCAACGACTTCAATAATTAATGGTTCCGCCGCTTCCGCCTCGTCAGTGACGTTGAGAGTGACAAATGATCAAGCTACAGATGCCAAAACCCTAACTGATGAAACGCAATTTTCCCAAATCAGCGATGCACCTGTTCAACAAGAGGAAACAACGACAACAATTATCAATGATTTAAACGCAAGGAAAAGTTAATTTTTAATGAGTGAAAAACGATTAATTTTAATTTTTAGTCAGCTCCATCTCCGAGTGAACCAAATTTACCTGTCGTTCCAGACTCCACTACAGAAACTACTTTACCAACCCAGAACGAAATTCCTGCCTCGTCCATGATTCCAGATCCGATAATTACTATGCAAGCAGTTGAAACTAGCTCATCAACATTTACGCAACTTGAAAGCACTGCAAATCCTAATCTGAATATTTTGCAACCAAGTAGTTTAGCTCCAGCTACCTCTCAAAAAAATGTTCCAATTCCGTCCTCAACGCCAAATGTACTAACAACAACAGCAAAAATAGCTGCCCCAACAACTACAACTACCGAGATGACAACAATCCTTTTCATAAAACCAACTACAGCAACGACGAATGCGCCTGAGGTATTATAATTCTAATTATGGTGGATTTCACTTTTATTATGAATACTATACATTATTGATTTGAATGAACCTCAACCTCAATAAAAATTTTAAAAAGGAAGGGCAGTTCAATATTTTGAACAAAATTTCCGTCATGGTCTTAACATTACATTATTAATCGATATTATTTAAATATAAATGGTTTAATTAACTACAGTATTGAGTTATTTTCAAAACATGGTCTTTTGATCTGAAACGTGTAGAGCAAGATGTTGTTTTTTGTAAAACGATAAACCGCTCCTAACACCCATCAAGTAAAAGCCGATTTTCAATTCATTTCACCATCCATGAATTATATCCCTCGATCGTGAAATGCCACCACAATATTTTCATATACTTTACAGGAAATATTTATATTGTGCAAATTATAAATAAAAAATCTTCTCTTGAATAGGTTTATCCGAAATGCCCAACATTATGTAAACGTGATGTAAGCTTAAAAATTTTAGATTTTTTACGGTGAAAACTTAAATTTGAACTAATTGAAGGCATCACTGTTTGATCTTGACAAGTCACTAAGAGGTTCGTACCACTTTAAAACAGCAATAAAGACATAATATTTTATAATATATTTGCGAATTCCAATTTGTAAATATCTATTTTATGAATTCTTCCTTTCCATAGTTTTATTTTTTCATTTAATTGAGAGGGTGAAGCTAATTTTGTATTTGACCGGTTTAAAAGATCCATCTGACCACGGCTTTTTGGAGAACTGCGTGTGGAAGTCTTTTTGTTTTTGGAAAATCTCTGGTGCGTAGAGATTTTATCTTCAATAAAGGATAAAATAAATTTAAACAAAATTTTAAAAGGCAAATTGGCAGCAGAACTTTGATAAATGCTGCAGTCTAGGAATGGTGCCAATTTTCTTCGAGACACAGGCTAAATTTACGTGCTTCAATGATATGATAGACGGTATGGAATAAACTAAAAAAATTTGCGTTAATCCAATAATTTAATTATTTCCCGTTTCGAGTGGTTTCTTTGGGTTTTATATTCTCAAAAACTTTTTAATTAAAATAACGCAGGATTTAATTGGCCATACAATACTCGGTATTGGACATCAGGTTTGCGCGGGAGCCCTTCCTCATTTGCATTTTGCCAATCCAAAGCAAGCGTATTATCGTCCTATTGGGAGTCCGGGCAACCCAACAATGTTAACAAGTCGGAAAATTGTGCTCAGCTTATAATAAAGCCAGGAAACGACACAGCCCAGTTGGCCGATAAGTACTGTGGAGAAATCAGTGCTTTTGCCTGCATGGTGATGAAAAGAAAAATATCATCCCTAATTAAAATATGTATATAATTGTTTCTTTTGTGCAGGGGCCGACAACACCAAAGCCTGCCTGCACTGCGCCCCAATGCCCAATTATCACCTGCGCTCCTAACGTTTGAAACAATCTCTATCTTCTCTTTTCTTAACAACTAATTATTGAAATTTGCAGAACACTTTTTTTGCGACCAAAGACGGCGCTGTGGTCATCAAATACTTAAAAGGTAAAATCAAATTGAAGTAGAAAATGTTCTTTAATAAAGATATAAAAAAATACTTAATAGACCCTACAAAGCACGGGCAGTGGTTTTCAACGGATGGAAGATATTATGTTTTCAGTTACCCAAGTGACACTCGCACGGTAACTTGGTTGTTGAAGAATAAAATTTTTATTTTTCCATTTCATAGTACGAACAATCAATGATGGCATGCTGCTCCATCGGCTTGAAACTCATCAGTGTGCACCAAGATTTCACTTTTGATCTGCTAAAAAATGCTTTTAAAAGTTTTTGTAGTGATTTATATGGTTATAAAAAATTAAAAATAATTGTAAAATAGATGGAAAAATATTACCAGCACAGTTTTGGACGTCTGGTACTGACTTAGGCTGCGAGGGTAACTTTGGGTATTGCTCATCAAATAGACTTCTTAGAAAGGAGGCAAGGTTTGTTTAATTCAATTCATTTTATCTTAGGCAATAATATTTTAATTAAAGCTGGAATATAAAACAAAATGTTATTTAGATGGGTCCTCGGACAACCAGATGATGTAAACAAAACTCAAAATTGCTTGACAATCTACGTCAATATGACAGAGTCTCGACTGAGTGATGAGAATTGCAACCTAAAAAGGCGCTACATCTGTGAAGTAAAATTTATTACAGCGAATAAGTATTTGAACTGTGACAAAATAATACAATATAAAAGGGAAAGTCCCCGAGGACAGTCGAAACGATTCAAAAAGAGTGTGCTGACCTATACACATTGACAGCTGGTTAATAAATGAAAATTTTTAATTTTTAAACTTTAAAAAATTTCTAGAGCAAATATCAAGGCTTCTTAACGACACCGCGAAAAATCTCAAGGAAAAATGTTTTTTGAAATGTTTTGGAGAGGAAACGGGATTTGTACTGTTCTTTTTTTTTCTATTTGGTCTATATTAATTTGCAGTAAATTTCAGATGAAGGATGGAAAGTTAGTGCAGGAAAAAATACTCGCCGAGTTTCAATCGTTGTCAAAAGGCGACCTAGACAAGCTTACCGAATCATACAGCACCTTCGACTTCTGCACCAATGTGACAAGTGAAAATTTGATAAATATTTTTGTTCCTTTCTCACTCATTTCAACAGAGGGAATGGATGATTGCGACAGAGCTTCAGCCCTGATGAAATGCGGACAAGACAATTCGCCAGAACTCATGTCAAGCCTGGTTGTTAACCTCGAAAATACAATTAAGGTGATAAGAAATGCTATAATGTTGTATTAGTTGCTTCAACTATTCTTTTCAAAGGGTGGCACCGTTAATGAGGCTGTGGTAATGTCACCTAACCAGTCATCCGCATGTCCTAGTCACACATGTGTTCAGGATGTAAAAAAAATACTTAAATTGCTTTTTTTCAATTTTTTATAATTTTGCTGTTAAGGCGGATTTGAAAGCAACTTTTGATAGAGCACCAGGTATGAATATTCCAAAATTTTAGTTCTTTCAAGAACCTTCTATTTGCAATTTAGCAAATTCATCATTTAAGTCGATTTACGGTACTGGAAAAGTAGCCGAAGCATGTGGCAAAAGGTTCCTGGGCTTGAATATGCCAGCCTTGATGGGAATTGTAATTATGCTCAAAATTACTCTCCGCTATCCTGTATTAATTAAAATTACTCGAATAAGAATGCATCAAGGTTTCCTGAAGCTTTTGCAATTTGCTGCAAATTTGGCCTCAGACTCTTAATTCTTGATACTACTGCAAAGCAAACATGTTTGAAGGCTCAAACTGGTCTTAGTAAGTTCAATCGTTTAAATCTATGCATGTCAAGAAACGCGTAACTTTTTTCCAGTGGATTTTCCAGCGGGTGTAGGAGGCTACATAATTGCTGCTTTCTACATTGATCCAAGTGTAAACAAAACGGCAATAACGTGTCCATCAGGACAGCTGGTAATGAACCAAAAGGAAATACCTGACGTATCTGCTGGCACACAAGGATTCTTTCCGACTATTAGAACAGATATAGCTACAGGTAATTTTGTGATCGATCGATATGCTGCCTCAAACAAATTGCTTTGTGAAAGCAATTGAAATTTTTAGTCAGGCATGAGGTCACGTTTTTGATATTGTGACGATGAAATGAAAATATAAATGATTTGATTAAGAAGTAATTTTTTTACTTTTGAAAAAGTTAAAATCATCTCGGTATATTATTGATATAAGTTTGTCTTCTTATACCACTTGTCTATATCAATTATTATTTTTTTTTATTGCAGTGAAAAATTGTAGATATGCTTTTTGCACTTTCTCAAATTTTAAAACAATATTTAATTTAAAGGATATATAATAAAATGATAAAAAAAAAAAAAACAATTTTTGAGAATCATTGATGGAAAAGTATCAGTTTTATATTGTTGCTTGCTGTTCTAGTTATTGACAACAACAAAATTGTTTGACTTGGAAATAAATGTAAATTTTAAAAGCAATTTATATTATTTTGCTTAATATAAGTCGTGATATACAAACACTACAAGACAAATCAATCAGAGCATTCAGAGCAGGGAAGAAATCTATAAGGGCCGAGGTATCAGGAGTAAAAATCAACACACCGCTCAATCGGACGTCGATTACCATCTAATAAATGTCAAAAACGGCGCCGATAAATATTATAATTTCCCAGCAAAACGGCGTGTGGTGGTGGAAAACGAGAGGTTTCGTTTTTATCGAGCATCTTCATCACCGCGCGGCACGGCACGTTCTTGTCGTTATTCATAAGAGCTAATACCACCATATTTATAACTGTCAATTATCAGCGTGCCCATATTATTCAGCGCATCATGTAATAATTTTCGAGCGCGCGGCTCTCTTTTCCCATTCTCACCTTTTAACAGATTCCCATCAAGTTAAATAAAACGCACGGCGAGATCAGCGGGTTAAAGAGGTCCTAACTATAACCAGTTATTAGGGCCGATCTATCATCTCCGAACCATCTCTCTCTTTATAGCAAGTGGGAGGTACTCGCGCCGCACCACCATTATAAATGTATTTTATTCTTTCTCTTTCTTTTTTTAATATATATAAATATTAAGTCAAACACCCATAAGGTGCTCTCGCTAAAATCTCTTCGGAGACTTTGATGGTCGCAGAGCTTTTGGCGAGCTTTGCGAAAGGGAATTTTGTTATTTTCCTCTTAGTATATTTTCCTCCTTAAAGAGAAGTGATTTAATTTGAAAAATTATAGCCTTCGGATCAGTCGATTACAAAAATCTAATCAATGAGAAGGAGAGTGCGTGTTGTGTGGCTCTTTATACCTCTTTGGCTGTAATCGCCAGTTTTAATTACTTCACCGCTGATTGGAATTTTCTCAAGCATGCATGGAAATTTTCGTCGGATGAGAAAATTCTTATTCGCCGATTACAGGCATAAAAACTATTGCCAGACGCATGCTTTTTCTAATCAGGTGTTGACAGGCCAGATAGAAATCTTGACATAATGAGCAACTAATGAGTTGTGTGCTTGCAATTAGCCTCATGGCAGTTTTTTTCAGGTGAGAGAGTATCTTGAGAAACACCTGAATGTTTTGATTATTTATTAAGTTGTAAAAATTTATGGTTCTAAGACTTTCTATTGAAAAATAAAATAAAAAATTCATTATCTGAAAAAAGTTTTACATTTTTGATTGTCCCTATCAATAAAAATTGTGTGTGAATGGGTTCAAGAAAATAAGTACCCAAGGCACTCAAAATTCCAACCTTGCTAAAATTTCAAATTAAATAGTTCCTCTCTGAAATAATTGATTTTTATATTGTGTGGAATGGGTTTGATGCAATTGGATTTGCCTGGCAATCAAGTTTTTTTTGTAGCCGCATAGAAATTTAATATGGAGCAGGTGATTTTGCATTAAATTTATTCGCCACTCTCCCCACAGAGAACTACTGACTGGCTAAAAGAAAAACATGACAGAACGGATCGTCTGTTGTGCACATTCATTAAATTAAAAAGGCAGCGAGCTCCTGCAGAGGTTTTCGCCGCTTCGAATCAAAATGTGGCCGCGCGCGAGAGTGCAGCTGCTCATTATTTTTAATATTCTCTCCTTGGAACCCACGGCGGAGGCGCCTGCTGCAGAAATATGAAAGAAAGACACGCGTTTGTTTTTTTGACTAGGGCAGTGTGCCTGTCTACGTTGGTGCTTCTGGCGTTTGTCCCTTCTTATGATCACGAAGTTTGCAACAACAATAAAAACTGTTATTTATAGCCGAGGTAACAAAAAGTTATGCTTTCAATTTGTACAATGGACCTCCTGCTTCTATTGAAGATTAAATGTGTTTGGATTTTAAGTAACTTTCTATAAAGCGATTTTTAGAAGAAAAGTTATTACTAATTATATTAACAATTTAAATTTTTATTGCAGTCATTAAAATTTTACTTTAATTTTTTTAAATTGTTTTAAATTTAATATTTATTAATGTTTATGTATGCATTATATAATTTAACATATGATTTGAATCAGAGTTTTTGATAAATAAATTAGCATTGCTACATACTATTTATAAAAATTAAGTTTTTATTTATTTATACATATTTTGGCACAATACTAGTTTGCTTCATGTTAATCAATTAGAAATAACAATTTTCTTGAATGCAGTAATGAATAAATTTAATAATAATAATAATAAAATAATCAATTAATTAGTAATTATTAATTCTAATTAACATTTTAACATCCATTGATGAATCGAAGCTTTTAACCCTTTTTAGGTTTTATAAAACGTCACTTAATCCGGTGAACTTGTACATTTTCGTTTCATCAACCCATATATCCGCGCGAGATAGCCTTTCAAAAAATTCGAACACAAGTTTTTGTGTAATTTTCCGATAGATGTTCAGATCGATTAAGTGCACATTTGAATACATTAAAGCAGCCTGCTCGAATGAGATCCCGAAAGTAGATGCAACAATGGTCCGCCCGGTTTGAAAGAGATAATGCGAGATGACGCGAGGGCATTAAAAGAGAGCGCGCGCCGTGCACACATAATATCATAAAAAGGTAAATTCGGGCCTCTAGGTATGGCGAAGTATAAGCTTGTTAGGCTATCTCAACACTTCATCACTTTTATATAATGTTGCTTTAATTTTTATTGGAAACATTTTTATGTGCAGGCCGGACCGAAATATTATTTCCACGCAGCCAAACGAGCCGACGTCGGAAAATTTAATATCGCCCCTCATTTTAATGCACGGAGAGAAACACATTATATTCAAAAGAAGTGTTTCTTTCTGCTCGCGGACGGACCGAATTTTTCGTTTGCTGTGGGAGGAGTTGCGGCAAATAATTTTTGTTTCATTCCAGGCAGATATTAATCGTTGGTACGTGAACACATTTGAGCCCAGAGGAGAATTCAGCCTTGCTCTGCAGAGTGCAAAGCTTGGCGCGTAAATGGTAGGTACGAAACGCAGACGCCGCTTGTACATGCATATTTATAAAGAAAAATGACCGACTGGCCCACGCGGGGTTTAATATTTTCACATTACTTTGCTATTGAGAACTTATTGTTTTCCAGACATATAGGTTTCACTTTCAAAAACTTTCTAAAGTGAGTGATTGTCTGGAGATTTTACAAATTTGTTTCCACTGTTCCCCTGGGGAAAGGGTTTCAATAGAAATGCTAAGCATAACATAAAAAATATCCATAAAAGTGCTTAATTTTTGGAACTGAAATTAATATCAGAAGCAGATAAATCATTTAAATTGAATAAATTTAATAGAAAACTGGTTTAAAAATCTAAAATTATTTTTTCTAATCAAGATTCCTCCTCAAAACTACTTGTTTCCTTCTTCTCTAATTCAAATTTTTGCGATTTATCTTTGATTCAAATTGATTCAGTAAACTACCCTCAGATTTTCATTGTTACACGTTGCATAATAATTAAATAAATTCATACAAGCCATACATATAAATAAATTAAAATCTTCATAAGTTCTCCGATCTTTGTATATCCCAGGGGACAATTATAAAAAACAAAGGGACTTTGATTCTGCTGCTGCAAAACCGTTTAAGGCTTGCAAATGAAAAGAAATTGAATCTTGAGAAAAGCGAAAAAAAGGGGGAACAGCAGCGCAGAGGGCGATTATATAAATTTCATTATACACACAGCACAGCACACATAGGTTAAAAAGTCTCGGTGCTCGCGCCTATCTGGACAGGGTATCTAAGCAAGGGAGCAGCACGGCCGTTGATCACCGCGCGACCAATACAGGAGCCTCAAGGTGGAGCGCGCAGAGACCCTGGCCGTTTACCTGTTCGCCAATGTATTTATGTTGGCTCTCGTGTGTCTCTCTACAAGTGTTATCTCTTTCCGCGAGAGTGACGCATGGCTACTGCACCCTGCCTCAAAGAAAGAAACCAAAGAGAGCCAATCGCCCCTCGCGGCCGATGCTGGCTGGTCCACAGGTGTGGTTGCCTTTCGCGCCAATCGCCGTATTCTCAGGTGCTTACTTCGTCATTGATCCATTTAACATGCAAAATTTTATTTATCTAAACAAGAAATTTTTGTAATAGTTTGATAAGCAATAATTTTTAATCAAATTGGAACAATTTTTTTCATTCTTATTGCTTAATTCATCTATTGAAATAAAGATTCCTTGTCTATAATACCTGATCCGTATTATTAATGATCATGATTTAATTTTAAAATTGATGATGATGACTTGAGTATTAGTTTTGATTTGTCCAAACCCTCATAAATTCCCAGTTAAGAATTTAATTCACTTAGACTAGTTCTTAATATTCAATAAGAATTAAAATCAACCATAACTTTTGACTAGATTGTAATACAATCCTTATTTTAATATATTATAAAAATAGAAAAATTATATTTATATACATACAACATTAGTTCTAATTTGTATTTTAAAATAGTTTAATTTTTTAATTCAATAAGTATTTTTAAATATAATTTTTTATTTTAAACTATCATTTAGTTGACATTGCATCATTGGCCTTGCTATTTGTGTCCTACAGAAGAGTTGAAAAATAATTTCATCAAAAATAATATAGTAAAGTCAACACAAAGAGCAATTGTTAATTGATGATTGAGAACAAAACTAGTTTTCTTTTGTAGTACGTTATTTTTCTTTGTTTAATGATATTAGAATGGAATGGATAATATTAATTAATATGAGAATAATGTGGATAATAAGATAAGTTACTCACAATAAATTATTGGCAAAACTTACAATCTCTCTGTCACAATTAATTGGAAATCAATA